TCTTTGTAGGTGACAAAAAGAGGATAGAGAGGAAGTCAACACTTTCCTGACACTCCACTAGCTAGTTTAGAACGCAAACTTGTTTCTTGCAGTGCATTTATTTCACGGTTTAGCTTGCTCTTTGGCCAACATCCGTCCAGAAATCTTATAGGTCGGTTTGCAATAGTGCTAAATGTGAGAAAGCCGGCAAATCATGCAAAAAGTTTTCAGATTTTCTTATCTCTCTTTTCGTAGCAAAACAATTTTCGACTCTTAGCCAACTGTAGTCCTTCCAGCCAATTATCGTTAGAAATGAAAGGTGAAAGCTCTTTAAATTTCGGCGCTCCATCTCTAATAAATTTGACGTCCATCACTGCTAGGCGCCTTTTCACTTCTCATTCATAGGTTCTGTGCCTTACCTTGGAATAAGCACAGAAGTTAGTTTGCTGCTTGGTGACTCGAATTAGATGTGCCGGGATATCGGCATTCTGTAAAATTTTTTTTCAGTTCCTCCATATCTGTTTGTTCTGTGGTCTTCAAAACTAAGAAATCACTGCCAGGAGGAAAAAACCTAAAAAGAATGAACCCGGACAGAACCATTTCTCTTCACTGTCGAGAGATGATGGAAGATGACAGGTTACCTCGAGGACTACAATAGTAAAAGTGATTCAAAAGTTAGCAGCTCGAATTCTATCACTAAGACGGGGCGTACTCGATACGTTTTGCGCATAAAGGCTTCTCAAGAAGACATTTACAATTTTGATTTTCATCGTTGTAGTCCGATCGGCTTTCACTGTCTTCGACTTTTCTTTGCTTGCTACGCTGACTTGAAGCTTACAGTACCTCCCTTCTGTCAGCAAGAAAAATACATATTCTTATTCGCAACATGCGGCTACGGCTCTCTCTATTAAAGGATAGCACTAAGGAGGTAGTTCGGAAAATGCGCCAGGCAACAACTAGGGTACAGTCAGTTCTATTCCTCACTTTCGACTTAGTGGAATTCTACTCCACCTTTGTCCTTCGTTTTTTTGAAGCCACTGTTATCGAAAAATAATTTGCTCGTTTTCGGTACAGCTGCCGAATTATCGCTTTCGTCGTTTTTCTTGTCGGTGTCGTACCCGTTTTTCGTCTTCGTCCTGATTTTTCGCCACTGTGTAACTCGCTAAAATTATTTATTCCAACTACGTTGGCTTCATAGTGACAAATGATTCATGTTCAGTATAGAATTCCTTAATCTTGTTGCCATCGCTGGCCTTGAAAGAGGGCATGAACCCAGACGATCCTGCGATTCTTTCTCAAAAATATTATGGGGGAAAAATGCCAACTCGAAGCCGATAAAAATAGCAGACGATGATCTGCGAATGTTACTTTTTGCTAACGAAAGCCCCGACTTTTCATGCATTTCTCTGTCCTTTTCCCGTGCTGAGCAGAACTGCCTTATCATCCTTCCAAATTAATATGTCTAGGCTTTCTGATGCGTTTCACACACGCCGGCGACGTCGTATCATTTTCTTTCTATTTCCTACAGGAAACACAAGCCACACGGACCTTACGTTTTCATCATTTTTCACAAATGCGTAAACGCATAAAAAGTGATAACAGTATCTGTTGCAAGGTACTGGCATTAAAATACTGAGAGTAAACTTGAGACGTTATTTTAAAAACGTAGTTGGTGAAGTA